GGCCACAAATTTTGTTAGTCTTTAAGGTGGTCCTGGACTCTTGCTCTTTGCCACAGGGAGACTCCTAAATCATGCCTGCCTGCCACCAATGGTCCCTCTAAGCTGTGGAGCCCTGTGAGCCAGAATTCTACTTTGTGAGCTCCTGGCATTAAAGTTGTGAGTGAGCAATTTGGCTGCTGCATACATCAGTTTGCTCTGTAGCCCTCCTTCCTGAGCTGAGACAAAAATGTGTGAGCCGGTGGCTAAAAAACTGGGAGCTAGCTCATGCTAACTCAGCTTAGAGGGAATACTGCCTGCAACTCACTTCCTCCAGTCTATCATTTATCCCCTAATACCAGGAGATAGATGCGCTACATGGAATCTCCGAACTGAGATTACGCAGTCCTACAATGGGTGGTGTGCACGACAGCAAGCTGGGATCGGCTTTGTGTATTTTTAAAAATATTTTTAAATGATGAGATTTATAACCCGCCCTCCCTGCGAGCAGGCTCAGGGCGATTCACAAGCTGGGCGTGTACGCCAATGGTTAAAACAGTTAAAAACAAGATAAAACAATCATTTATAGTCATTTATAACAATAGAAGGTGCTCTAGATGTCTCAAAGAAGGTCTTCAGTAACAAGATGGCCTCCTGATGGTGATGGTCCCAGATCGGTGCTATCAGTTCCAGGCAGCACTATCGTTCGTTGTCACAGGGCCATCTCACTCCCCGATGTTACCCAGCCTAATTGGTGGTGGTGGTGCAGCGGCGGCGGCTCCTACACGAAAGCCTGGCGGAAGAGCTCTGTCTGACAGGCCCTGCGGAACTGCACAAGGTCCCGCAGGGCCCGGATCTCCTCCGGGAGCTCGTTCCACCAGGTAGGAGCCGCCACCGAAAAGGCCCTGGCCCTGGTTGCTGCAAATCTGGGTTCTTTGGGGCATGGAGTCACCAGGAGATGCTGCGTCCACAACAGTAATGCCCTTGGGGGAACATATGGGGAATATTTATGTTGATAATTATTTATGTTGATATTTATCAACATATTTATGTTGATATTTATCAACATATTTAAGTTGATATTTATCAACATATTTATGTTGATATTTATCAACATATTTATGTTGATATTTATCAACATATTAATGTTGATATTGGTGTTTGTTTTTTTAAAATCGTGTAAACTGTTTTCAGTCCCAGTGATCAGGAGAAAAGCAGGATATGAATATTTGAAATAAATGAAACAAATATGTCCCAGAGTTTACAGTTACCAACTGGAGGTCTCCCAGAATTACAAATCTCTGGATTACAGAGACAAGTTCCCCTTGAAAAAATGGCTACTTAGGACAGTGGGTGAGGAGGAGGAGGAGGAGGAGATTGGATTTATACCCCGCCCTTCACTCGGAGTCTCTGACCAGCTTACAAACTCCTTTCCCTTCCCCTCCCCACAGCAGACACCCTGTGAGGTAGGAGGGGCTGAGAGAGCTCTTTCGAGAATTGCTCTTTCAAGGACAGCTCTACCAGAACTATGGCTTGCCCAAGGTCATCCAGCAGCTGCAAGTGGAGGAGTGGGGAATAAAACCCGGTTCTCCCAGATCAGAGTCCATGCACTTAACCACTGCACTGAACCTACCTCAGAGGGCTGTTGTGAGGATAAACGGGAGAAAGGTATTATAGACAGGGTCTGCGTTGGGAAGAAAAGTGCACTATTGATATGGGGATCAGTATAAATAAAACAAACCAAGCAGAGAGCCAAAGACATTGGAGGAAATATAACTAATAATTTCAGAAATGAAAGAGTTGCACTTCCCTAATCGTCATGGGCCCCAACCTATATATCCCAGGCTAGCCCGATCTCGTCAGATCTTGGAAACTAAGCAGGGTCAGCCCTGGCTAGTATTTGGATGGGAGACCTCCAAGGAGTGCCAGGGAATGGCAAACCCCCTCTGAACGTCTCTTGCCTTGAAAACCTCATAAGGGGTCGCCATAAATTGACTGCAACTTGAAAACAACAATAACAAAGTTGTTGGATGGGATCTAATGACTGCATTCTCGCAATTTAGGGTACATCAATTTCCAGTTCTGACATATTTATTTACCCATGTTCCCCCTCCCCCCTTGAGCTCAAACAGATGATAACCAGATTCAGATTCAGACACCTTTAATGGCATAATACTAAAAGGTAAAGGTTTCCCTTGCTCGAAAGCCAGTCGAATCTGACTCTAGAGGTGTGGTGCTCATCTCCGTTTCCAAGCCAAAGAGCCAGCGCTGTCCGAAGACTTCTCCGTGGTCATGTCGCTGGCACGACTAGATGCCGAGGCGCACGGAACGCTGTTACCTTCCCACTGAAGCGGTACCTATTTACCTACTTGCAGTTTCCTGCTTTCGAACAGCTAGGCCGGCAGGAGCTGGGGCCGGAGACGGGAGCTCACTCCGTCATGTGGCACTCGGGTCTCAAACTGCTGAACTACCGACCTTCTGGTCTGCAGTTCAGCATCTTAACCACTGAGCCACTGCAGCCCTAAATAATGGCATAATAGTATATAATAAATACATTTAAGAAGAAGCATTTAATTCCAGTAAGTAAATTTAGACAATAAAATATGTGTATTATGTAAAAAGACTGTATCTAAGTGCGGCTGATTCTGCTAAGAATCTTGCAGCCATAATTGTAGTATCAGTATTAATATCAATAGGAAAATATTGAACGGTTGTAAGGTTATTAGTAAATAAGCGTGTCCGAAGGGGTAAAAGTTTCATACATGAGGATGTGTGCGGCTGGCAGTCCAGAATAATATGGAAGATTGAATCTGGGGCCATGCTGGAACATTTGCAGAGTCTTTCCTGGGGGGGGGGGGGATGTTGTTAAATCGACCCCACACAACATGTTTGAGGGAAAGACATTTAGCTGAGCTGGTAAGGAAGGCTGAGATTGTGTAAAGAATGGGCCATTTGGCCATGTTGGGTTGAAAGGTTAAGATGAGCCTGTGAATAAATATGCGGATGTGAAGGACAAAAGTTATGTCATTCTAGATCGAATAGTCTTTGTCTAATAGATCGAAAAATTGAGGTTTCGTCCATTTGGAGAAAGTAATCAGTTGAAAAGCCTATTTGATTAATGTTTTCTTGTTTTTGAAAACGAGAGGGGACTGTATCATTTTTAAGCGTGAAATTAGAGAGTTTAGAGAGGCTCTAAAATGAATTTTGAGCCAATATTTAACTGCAGACTGGAAGGTCGGTAGTTCAGCAGTTTGAGACCCAAGTGCCGCTAAGGAACCATAAACCCAGCCTGTCACTCTTTTGATCTGTTAAAAAAAAGACCTTCTCTATTTTGCACACTAATTTAACAAGCCACTTCTCTACATATACAACTAGGATCTGTAATTCCATTTCACTGTCTGACGAAGTGTGCGTGCAAAAGAAAGCTCACACCTTGAATAAAACTTTATTGGTCTTAAAGGTGCCACTGGACTCTAACTTTGTTCAGCAACTAAGTTGTTATGGGTGGGGGCGGGGCACAGTGATACAGCACGGCCCGAGCGGGCAGAAGGTCCTAGGTGGGTGTTGTAGATTTTCCGGGCTGTATGGCCGTGGCCTTGGCATTGTAGGACCTGACGTTTCACCAATAGCTGTGACTGGCATCCTCAGAGGTATAACACAAAAAGATGGAGTACTCTCTGTGTCTTTCTGTGTTATCCCTCTGAGGATGCCAGTCACAGCTACTGGTGAAAAATCAGGCCCTATAATGCCAAGACCTCGGCCAGACAACCCGGAAAATCTACAACAGCTAATGAACTCCGGCCGTGAAAGCCTTCGACAACATATTGGTCCTAGGTGGGGTTAACAAAAAAACTGTCCTGTCCCTTTAACAGAGGCATTCTGGGCTGCTTTATTTGGGGTTTTTTTTACCAGTCCTTTATTTTGGTTTTTTTTTACCAGTCTCATTTACCTTCACGCTATTTCCATGCAGTCAGCCTCTCTTAAAGGGGCAGAGTGCTTTTCTCCAGGTAATCCTAGCCCTAGGTTCAGTCTCCAGCAGCATCTCCCGTTCAAAGGACCGGGTCACAGGTATTGCGAAGGACAGGGCTGCCAGCCTCCAGGTGGGACCTGGAGATCTCCCAGGGTTACAGCTGATCTCCAGATCAGTTCCATCGGAGGAAATGGCTGCTTTGGAGGGTGGGCGCTGTGACACTGTACACTGCTGAGGCCCCTCCGGTCCACAAACCCCGCCTTCCACAGGCTCCACCCTCGGGTTGCCAGGTCCAACTCAGGAAATATCTGGGAACTTTGGGGGTGGAGCCAGGAGACTTTGGGGGTGGAGCCAGGAGCCAGGATGTGACATCACTTTTGTGATATCACTAGGTGATTGGACTCTGCAGGGATTCTGGCTGTCGCATTTAAAGGGACCGCATTCCTTTTAAATGCTTTCCCTCCTTTGGAAGCAATGGAGGAGGAGGAGGCACCATTTTTGGGGCTCAACAATTTGGACCCCTTGGTCCAATCTTTTTGAAACTTGGGTTGTTGTGTTGTTTTTTTCAGGAGAGGCGCCAGCAGCTATGCTGAAAATTTGGTGCCTCTACCTCAAAAAACAGCCTCCCCCCGAGCCCCAGATATCCACAGATCGATTCTCCATTATACCCTATGGGGACCAGTGGCCGTAGGGTATAATGGAGTGCTCAGCGGCATCCCCCCCCCCGCTTTCTGAGAGCCCTGAAGCGGGAGGAGGGGCTCCAAACCAAGGGATCCCCTGCCCCCAACCGGGGATTGGCAACTTTACTCCACCCCCAAAATCTCCAGGTATTTCTCAACCCAGAATCAGCAACCCTAGTGAAGGACCGGTACCAGAGACTCAGGAGAGCCACTGCCAGTTGAAGGAGACAAGATGGACCTGGACAGACCCCCAGGGTGGTGGTGGGAACAGGCAGTTTCCGGCGCGACATTCATCCATGTTATCGTACAAGGGTATCAGCCCCTGCGAGAAACCTCAAGTGGCATGGAAGTCAAATGTGAAGCCAGGGACTCACCGCAATGGCCTGCAGTCTCTCCTGCTGAGTGGTGCTGGTGTCAATCATCCTGGAAGGAGAAGAGGAGATGTTTCAGACTCTTCTGAAGACCAAATCCCATACACCCCTCCCCAAGAAGAACGTAAGTCTGTGCCAGGTGTGCATTTCTAGGCTTTCCTGTTAGCACCAATGGGTTTAACCAGGGCTATTTTGGGGCAGGAACACACAGGAGCGGAGTTCTGGCTGGCTTCAGAGTTGGCCATGCCCACTACAGCCAAAACCTCATTGTGTGTGGCTACAGAGGGAAGGCCTGGAGAGCGAAACCACCACCACCCCGGCAACTCCGAGGCGGGCGGGCCAGGGGGTCCTGGAAGGATCAGGGAGGCATTTAAATGCCTCCCTGTGCCTTCCCCTGCCTGTCCAAGGGCCGACTTGCCCGGGCTCCCAGGAGCCATGGGGTGCCTGGGCAAACCAAGGGAATGCATGGGGTGAGGCCTAATATGCTAATGAGCTGTGCTGTCATGGGTGTGGCCTAATATGCTAATGAGTTTCTGCTGTTGGGTGTGGCCTATTATGCTACCAAAAAAGCCCTGGGTTTAACACATCTGCTGCAGAATTACTACATTCTTATTTCACTGCCAGTTAAAGTCATGATGGCCCCAATTAGAGTGATGGATGAGAGGCCCATCAATGGCTGCTAGCCATTGGAGACTAAACGGAACCTCCATGTCCAGAGGTAGTTAACCTCACAATACAACGAAGCACCAAATCAGGGTCAAGGTTTTGGTGTTAACCTTTAAGGCCCTAGACCAGGGGTGTCAAACATGCGGCCCGGGGCCTGGATCAGGCCCCCGTAGGGCTTCTATCAGGCCCACAGTGGAACTGGCTGTCTTCTGCTTCTTCTTCCAGTTCTGCTGCTGCTGCGTCATCATAGGTTTGCAGCTTACGGATACACACCCGAGCAGCATCCTCGAGATTGCAACAGCACAGACATTTTGATGCAAATATTCAGAGCAAGAGGGGTCAGTTATCAGACACTGCTAAATAAACAAAATATTGCAAGAGCCAGAGGTCGATTCGGGGGGAATCGCGGGGGATCGCAGTTCCCCCGGGTAAGGTGCGGGGGGTGGGGCACATGACGAAGCCCCACCCCCTGCTTCCAGCCGCCCCGCTTCCCGCCCTCATTCAGCCAGGAGGAGGCAGGAGAAGAGGGAGGGTAAGTTGCTTCCTCCCCGCCTCTCCCCACCCCTGCCTGCCTGGGGCCAGGGAGGGCCTTAGCGGGGCTTCCTCGCACTCCCGCCGGCCTTGCAGGTCCACTGCCGGGCCCCTGATGTCAGGGGGTGTGGCATATGCTAATGAGTTATGCTAATGAGTTCCCCTAGCTCTTTGTCTACGAAACAACCCCTGGCAAGAGGGGTCACAGAGGAGGGAGAGCTTGTACCTGAAGGCGGGCTGGGGGGGGGGCTCTGCAATTTACTTGGCTGCTTCTTGCTCCTCGTGGCCTGACTGGGGGCTGCTGGGAGCAGGGGGCTGGGCTTGTTGCATGTGCCCGCCCCCTGGGCTCCTTACTGCCGGAGCTCCGCTCCTGTGCGCCCCCGCAGGAAATGACCCCTGCTCATAACAAATGAGTTCGACACCCCTGCTCTATGGCATCATGCCCTGCGGGGGGTCCCTCTTCTCCCCCAACCCTTCCCACAGTGGCTCCACCCCCAATATCCCCAGGTATCTCGAAACCCAGAGCTGGCACGGCCCTAAATGACTAGCCTGTGGTCACAGGAACACGGATGGGTAGAGCTGGGCACAATCCAGACCTGACCCCCCCCGTAGCCAGTGTGTCCTAAAAGCCATCCGCGCAGAGTGACATGTTGTTTAGGCATGAAACAATCCATTCAGGCGCCGGCTGCAAGCGCCCAATGAGACATGGGGGGATTGGGGGGGCCGTGGGGGGGGCAGACACTTTTGTGCGTTTCTGTGAGGAGACTCATTGTATTTCACAATGAGCCGGACACGGAATTCAGACAGTACATGGCCTTCTGCTTTCCCTGAGGTGAAACCCCCCCCTCTTCCTTCCCTGTCCCCCCGCCCTTTCTGCACACGTCTTCCTTCCGGGCCTTTCCTTCCGTATCCTTGTTCTCTTCTATACCACCCTTGAGGCAGGCTGGGTTGTTTTCTTTTGGTTTTTAAAAAGAATTCTTTCCATTTCCATTTCTCATACGCTGCCTTTGAACCCGGCAGAGAAACGCGCTTCCCGAGGGTTGCCAACCTCCTGCGGAACTGTAGTAAGTCCTTTGTCATGGGTTCACGACAAAAGGAGATTGCGGGAAGAGTTGATAAAGCAGTGTTCCCTCTAAGCTGAGTTAGTGTGAGCTAGCTCATAGTTTTTTAGCCTCCGGCTCACACACTTTTGTCTTAGCTTGGGAAGGAGGGCTCCAGAGCAAACAAATTTAGGCAGTAGCCAAATCGCTCGCTCACAACTTTAATGCCGGTGGCTCACAAAGTAGAATTTTTGCTCACAAGACTCCACAGCTTAGGCCCTGTCCACACGAGGGGTTTTGGGCCGGGAGTGGACCGGATCGGGGCCGGAGCAAACGGGCGCGATCCCACTGCAACATCTCGGCAGCGTTGCGCACCTGTCCCCGATCCGGCCCTTCCCCCGATGAAACGCATCAAAAACGAACCACCTACCAAGGTGGTTCATCCACGACAGCCGCATCAACGCCGGCCATGGGATCGCCGGCCCGTCTTTCTGCCGGCGCATCCCCGGCTCCTGCCTGAACTGCGCATGCTCAGACATGCACAGTTCGGCAGTCTCCCGTTCCCCTCCGTCGCTTCCCCCGGCATCTGATCGTGCCGGGGAGGGAATGCGCCGCGGCTCAGGGGATCAATGTGATCCTGCTGCGGCGTGGGTTTTTTGGTGTGGCTTTCAGAAGCCACGCTTCAGCCCATCCCTTTCCACCCCGTGTGGCAGGGGCCTTAGAGGGAGCATTGTTGGTAAGATAAAACAAAATAATTCAGGCTATATATAATTGATTTCTGTCTCAGCATGGCATACATGGCTTTTCCAGTGTTATCCTTCCAACATACCTAATTGACACCATTCTGGGATCCGGGGTGCTGTTGGTTCCTTTCTGGTTCACCAGAGCCAGTTTGGTGTAGTGGTTAGGAGCGTGGACTCTAATCTGGGAAAACCGGGTTTGAGTCCCCACTCCTCATGCAGCTGCTGGTATGACCTTGGGTCACTCACAAGTTCTCTCAGAGCTGTTCTCTCAAGAGCAGTCCTTGAAAGAGCCCTCTCAGCCCCACCTACCTCACAGGGTGTCTGTTGTGGGGAAGGGAAGGGAAAGGAGATTTTGAGACTCCCTCAGGTAGTGAAGGGCGGGGTTTAAATCCAATCTTCTCTTCTCTTCCTCTTCTCTTACCAGTCGTTTTAGAGCAAGCCAAAGAAGACTAGCGGTTCTAACGCAGGTGTCCTTTCCTACTTCTGCGGTCTGGCCCCAGAGCCCTCATTCGTTCTCCGACCTTCATGAGCTTTTTCTTTGCTTCAGTGTAAAGTTTGGGATCTTGTGTGAAGGGCTCGAAAAGATTGACAGGGCTGGCAGTGAAAACGGCTTTGAGCACCAGGACCTGATTGGACAGATTGGGGGTTGCAATGAAGACATGTCAATACACACGAGTTTAAGCCCGTGTGTATTGCCATGTTATTTATATATTTGATGTGAATGGGCCCTTATATATGTTTTAAAATGTGTAATTAATAAATACATGTATCTTTTTCTATATATTTTCTACATTTAGTTTTTAATATTGGCCCTCTTTTTCACGTTTTACTAACCTTTGTTAGGTTCTGAATTTTAGTGTTAAGGTTCAGTTTTTTGCCTTTTCTGTCCCTGCTTCACTCTCTGCCAAACAACATCCGCGCCCTGCAGGACTTACTACAGTTCCGCAGGGCTTGCAAGGCAGAGATATTACACCAGGCGTTTGGTTGAGCACAGTGACAGTTCCATCCTGTCACACACACCCGACCCCCGTGAGACAGCGGTGCTGTTAGGTTTTTAGTATCACCTTTAGTCAAACTGTTGGGGTTTTCTTTGTTTTTAACTTTGTTTAATTATTCGGCTTTTATTCGGGCACAACTTGGAGAAGCCGAGGTACACTGCGGCGGCACAACTCAGCAAGTAAACTCAGGCATTTAAAAGGACCGCATTCCTTCACATGCCTTTCCCCCTCCATTGTAAACAATGGAGGATGGGGGATCCTTTTGGGGGGGCCCATAGAATTTGACCCCCTGGTCCAATCTTTTTAAAACTTGGGGGGGGAGGGGTTGAAGAGAGCTACCAGCAGCCATCCTGCAAATTTGGTGCCTCTACCTCAAAAAACAGCCCCCCAAGCCCCAGATACCCCCGGATCAATTTTCCATTATAGCTTATGGGGAATGTTCCCCATAGGCTATAGTGGTACCGAGGATATAACCGAGTGATCTCTGAGCAAGGCACCTTCTTCTGGGGCCCATAAAATTGGACCCCCCTGGTACAATCTTTTTAAAATTGGGGGTGATTTTGAGGAGAGGCACTAGCAGCTATGCTGCAAATTTGATGCCTGTACCTCAAAAAACAGCCCCCTCAGAGCCCCAGAAACCCCCAGATTGATTCTCCATTATAGCCCATAGGTTACAATGGTCCCCATAGGTTACAATGGAGCTAAATAAATTTGGGTTTCCCAATTATTTCCCAAATCCCAATACCATACTAATACTGGTATTCAGGAATATCGGGAAATACTGATAATTTTTGGGTTCAATATACCCGAACGCAAAAAAATGCCAAATAATTTTTTTGCACACTCTAATTTATGATCCCTTAGAGCCTGTGGTTGGTCCAAGGTTGATTTTTTTCTGGTCATACTCTGCAGGAGTATTTCTGTTTTTGTCTGCTCCTCCTTTTCTGGTGCTGTCTGCTCCTCTTGGTTCTGGAACCAGTTCAGTGTGGCCAAGTCTCTATAGTAATTGATGTTCAGAGGGAAGTTGATCAGAAGTACAGAATCTAGGAATATGAGGGGATGTAAAGACATTCT